CAAATGGAAGAACTGCCATTAACATTCAATTACATGTATCAACAAGGAACTCCTTTCTAGCAGATTCTGCATTTTTGCAGAATTTTTCAGAAAGATGAAAAGAGCTGTTTACTTTCCACGTTGTTTTTCTAGAATTTTAGATTTCTTCCATGCAACTAATATATTCCTTGGAGTCCTGAACTGTCCCACGTGCAAAAAAGTAAATAAAAAGATTTCTGCAGTTTCAATCCCTCATCTCACCGGAAGGATTCCAGGTCTAAGACCATGAAGAGTTAATTCAAGTAGCCTCTAGCATTTCAATTGTTACAAGCAAGAAAAAAAAAAATCATGCAAGGAACTACTGGTTACTGAGGTGTGTGTTTGAGTAATTTTTAAACTCAAGATAAATCAAAGTTTGACACTGCTGTGCCACAAAGCATACCGTATGTACCAGGATGTAACACCAGGCACACAAAGAAAAGCTTCCATGTAAAATCTGATTTTCTGTGCTTTTACAGTCTTACTTGTGAGCTGTTTCAGCCTAGACATTTTTACTTTTCTTTTTTTTCCTTTGCTTCCTAGAAAAAAAAAAATTGAAACTTGAAATACACAAACCAACTGTCTAAGCTTCACAAGTGTGCAGTAACCCTGAGAACATTTCAGTTCAAGTTTTCTTAAACTTCAGATGTTTTCTTTTGCACCTTCATTCATCCTCACATTCTCATCTTGGAATATCTTGAGTTTGCTACACAAAATTTTATTATGGGAGACAATTAAAGCCAGAACTTCATTTCTTAGGTTTCCCTTTGCATGAATGCCACTGCAAAGGTCAGAATAGCACAACAGCTAAATTAACCTCATCAGAGAAAAAACAATATGAATTCAGAGCTTCTGCAATGCCACTATTCTGTTGCACATGATTTTACACGCTCATTTGTGACCATTTGAACACCCAGAAGTGCTATTATCTAAAACTCCTTAAGATCCCTAATTGCCTTGACTCCTTGGCAGAGTAATTGAGCCCAGAGAAAACTCTATTTTGCCACAGGACTGCTTTGGGCACACCAACTTCCCAGCAAACGCTACAGTCTTCACTACCATAAAGTCTTCTGTAGCCGCTTATGATTCTTAAAGTCAAGAAAGATGCCTATAAACTTAAGTGTTGTCTAGGTACCAAAACAGTTTTAATAGGCCACCAACCTCAAGCAACATTTGAACCATGCTGTTTGCTTGGTCATTTTTACCCTCTCTCAGAAAAATTACCCTTAATCAGAACCTTCTTCTCCAACAAGATACTAATTGTGTGCAGGCATGAAAGAGATGCTTCTGCATTGTGAAACATCCATGATGCAATATTTGTTTCAAACCCCCTAAAGACTCAGTTCCCTCTTTCAGCTTGTGATCCTGCAGCTAAAATCAAAATCGGGCCCAGTCTGTTTGCCAAGCCCCTAGATTGCCAAGCATCTAACAGCAAAATGTCAAACAGCAACCACTGGAGTGGTAATGTTAGGGCAGATATATCATTAAGTTTTCAAAGCAGAGCACACAGTAATTGTCATCAGCATGCAGTCAGACTGTTTATCACTGCTTACCTAACAGTTTGCCTGTAACAACTGTCCACTGTAGGTTCTCTGTTTGAAGATTTCTTTCTTTGGTTTGCTCTCTCACTTGAAATGAATTAAGAGTTCATAAACCCACAAACAACAGCAATATCATTATCCGTGGTGTACAGCCCTTTCAATTTCTGTTTCACTGTGCATTCAACTCTGCTTTAAAAGAAAACAACTCAAACTGCAGGAAAAAAAAAGATTTTCCTCTCAAAAGGTGTGAGGTTACAAGCTCCTAGGATGTTCTCATACATTTGCAAAAAAAAAAAAAAAAAAAAAAAAAAAAAAAAAGTACCTTGTAACTGAACTTGCCACTCTTTTCTCACTCTTCCACTTACAATAACATTCAAACTCACTGGTAAATAGACTACATCCTACATATCTTTACAATACCATGGAAATAGTTCTTACACTTCAATTTTTTCCAGGCTGTATTAATCCTCTCTCATTCCAAATTTAATTTTTTGGAGCAGAATTTATGAACATGCGTCTCTGTGCTAACAATTCAACTTCAATATTAAAAAGCCATGTATAGCTCTAAACTGCATACTCTATTTCACATACTCGAAATGAAATTCAGATTATAAACATTTTACTTTCGTGAAGCAGCAAAAATTATCTCATCTTGCTCTGAAACATTTAAGATTTTGCTACAGATTGACATTGAAAAGCCATTCATATCTGTATATATACACACACACATTCTAGGGCTTGCACAAAAATAAATCATCCTCTAAATTACATGACTTATTTAAAAGTGATTAATTTTGGGTTAGTGTTTCAATCTTGTGTCCACTAGTGTCATAGAAATTATTTAACTCAACTACAACTGCCTGTCAAAACTACAGAAAGAGCTGGTATTGTCTTTTCAGTGCTAAGCTTAAATTTCTTTAAAAAAATACCGACTATAAAGATGACTTAATGCAGAGTTGTAAATAGGCTCCTGAATCTTATTTAATTTTTTCCTGAAGTTAATTGCCAGGCTGAGGTAGATCTGGGATCTGCTGTTTCTTACTGTTTCCAAAAACTAATCTCCACAGCCATTCTTCTAAAAGAGGCGAAAGAGTAATGTCAGAAAAAAAACAAAGAATCTTACACTTTAAGTACTAACAACAACTGCAGTATTTCCTTACCATACTGTACCTTGCTCTTCTGTTAAGCTTATTAATGCACACAGTTCAAATTGATACAGCAGTCAAACCTAAACGGAGCTTAGACATCACATGTTGTATGGGAAGTGCTGAATCATAGCCTGAACCTCTGATTGATCACCTGAGGCAAGCACTGAGTCAGCCATGGAGCACAGGTCAAGGCAATTCACCTGTGTGACCAGAAGGAGTGGAGCCTGGCTGCACCTCTCCTAGACCCAATTTAAGGGCTGACTGGCACTGAGGATCTCTTCCTGGAGATCGCTCCTTGTGGAGTTTATTGCAAGCCTACAACATCAGTGAGCATTTTCCATTTATTATCTTTCCACAGTGATAATCTTACTTAGCCTAACCTCTGTGCACCTATTGATGGTACACATTTATTCAAGACACTTCAGCTCCAAGACACTTCAACCTGTGGCCAGGAGTTTTTGGCTCAATACCTGTCAGACAATCATTGTTTCAATTACAGTCTTCTTTATAGTTATCTTCCATCAAACACTGCCTTGGAAGAATAGAATTAAAAAGCCCACAAAGTACTATCTTCCAGCAATTTTTATTAATGAGCTACAACCAATTCCTGCAGGAGGAAAAATCAGTATTCACAATAACTTAGTAAGAGCAGTCATACCTAATAACCTAAAGAGACGGACAGTAGAAATACCTGAAGATTCTTCATCCAGCTTCCTTTGAACATGTGCAAATAATACCACAAGTTATACAAGTTTTATTTAACCCTTTTTAATGAAATAACACTTTTCCCTAACCCACTTCTCAATTTTTTTTTATCTTATGCACACATGCTTACTTTCAAAAGCTGGCAAAGCCAAACGCTTCAGATGAGCTTCAGAAAGTAATTTCTGCAATAAAAGGTTTATTTCCATTCTTCACATTGTATCAACATGCTGGAGAGATTGGTGACAAGCTGTGCACCCTGCACTTCAGTTCCGATGCCCCAATAAATTAACTGTTCATCTTTGTAGCATGTATCAATTGTGGATGATCCAAAGGCTTCCTTTAGAAGAGGAAAACAGATGCATGCTTAAGAGCATCAATTAGCAGCCCTAAAGAATTTAAAATAATGCTGTGCCTGGACTAGCTTCAGATGTTCTCCTCAGAAGAATCAGTGCTCCTTCATACAACGCAGCAAAAGGACACTGACTGTTCTGGCAAAAGCCAGGTCCCTAACATCTCACACAAGGTATCAGAGGCACTGTCTGCTTTACCAGAAGGCTATTTACACAATGTTTACGTGTTTCCTCTCATCTCCAGAAATAGTCACTGATAAAACAGCAAATCAGAAGTAACTGAACAAGCCAGAAAAGTAGAGAAAAACTAGCAAAATATATTGATCTTTACGTGTATGCACAAGCAAATGGAGGCTGAGACATATACACATTTACACACTTCAGAAACTTTTCAAATTATTGTATGTTTGCAAATTAATATTTTATGTTCATAATTTAACCAACACACCCAAGTAATATTTTTGAAGAAACAAGACTACTTGAATCTGCTGTGCATATATTTGTGCTATATCATATTCTGTCAAAGTCTATTTGCAGTGAGTGTAAATAAAAGAGAAATAATCCAGGGGATGGAATAACAGAAGCCATGTGCACCACATATGTTGTTAGAGAAGTCTTATAAACCCAACAATTAAAAGACAGCATATTACATATAACTGAAAAAAAAAAAGTAATTTTCCAGTATACGCATTTCACATTAAAAGAGGAAAAAAGTTACCTCAAGGGTGGGTGACTGTGTGCATAGGAACTCGTATCACCGCTTCCCCGGTGAAGCAATTCCTGTTCTTAGAACTTGCTACCCAAGGATGCTGAGGCACTGAGTAGGCAAAGCATGATGTAAAGGAAGCCAACTGCAGTCTAGTTTGCAGAATATTCCTGAAGCCCCGCAGAACTCAAAGACCATGAAATGAATTTGAATACCAGCTAACATAATGTATACTCCAATAGAAAAAAAAGTATGCAGCAAAGCTGTCTTAAATCAAGAGAACTATAGTTGCCAAAGAGCCTGTATTTGAGGATAAGTGATTTAATTAAATGCAGTGAAGCAGCAGCAGCAAACAACCTGGAAGCAACTGTTTACAAGTAAGCATGAAAGGGAGAACAGATTAGACAGAAAAGATGAAGAGACAGATCAGTAAGGAGTTTACTGTGGGTCAGTTCAAACAAGCTGCTATTCAGAGCAACAGCTCAGCCTTTTCTGTTCTAAGAAATTGAATTATTTCCTGCTTCTGTCTTACCTGAAAGCCTGCGTTCCATCTCCAGACTAACTTCCTAGGGAACCTTATGAAACACCAACAATGAAGGAAAAGCTTCTTAAAGAATGATCATGAAGATATAGCAAATAACCCTGACGATCACATCAAAAGAATGGAAGGCAAACTAGGCAGGAAAATTAGCAACAGGTGATTTCACTTTGAATTGGCAGCCCATTCTTTCACCATGGTTTAAGGCCCAGATGGGCTTCTTGTTCTTCATGAATGCCCCAAGCAGTTAATTATGTAAAATACCTGTGTCTTTTGCAACAACACATGCTGACTATCTGTTCTAAACACTCCCACCTGGGTTTCTACAGTGATTCATCACAAACAGGAGAATACCAATGCTTGCATAAGTAGGAAGAAGAATTAAGATGACCCGAAAGCAGATTTTGTGCTTTAAATGCAGTCAACATTCATCGAGATGCAAGTCATCACCTTATGTTTTATATCTTTTGTGAAAAAAAATCCAGAAAATGTGATAACAAAATCTCCAGATTTTGAAACAGTATTACTTTAAGTATGCAGGTAACACTGACTTTTGTTTTTAGCATGGTTATTCTGGATAGGCTTTTTGTTCTGCTCCCCACATCAAGTGCCTGAAGAGACTGAGATTTCAGGCAAGCCACTGCATATCCATCTTATCCTAAGAGATGCCTGACATTAAAAAGTCAATTACTAAAACTTCATGCCAAGCACCTGTGAAATGAGTGAAGAGAGCATCTGCTTTCCAGATTCACCATTCAGTTTATATGCCAGTTAAACTGATCACTGCTGACACAGAGGGTAATAACTCTTGACATTTCAAAAAGTCAAGTGAAACACCAAGTCCAAGTTTCCAAGAGAATGATTAAAATAATAGGATTACATATAATTCTGAAAGCAGACAAAACCACTGAGAAAAACTGACTCCCCCAACACTTATTTCCTCTCTCTGCAGTCTAATAGTGGAGAGTAAGATAAAAGCAGTATCACTGAAGAAAAATGGAGTGTTCTACTTCTCTCTAATCAGAGATTTAATATTGTTACTATTATAAACAAATCACAGAATATTACTGGAGAACAAAATTCAGCAACCTAATATTCTGTCTACTTTCAAGTCCTTTCACACTCTTCGAAGAGATGTGTAGGCACTAAATACACATTGGCTCTAAAATGCAGAAGCCATATGAAACACAGAAAACAGCACAGTGGCAGCTAATTCACCCACAAACTGACTTACTAGTCCTTAAGTGCCATAGATTCCTATTAAAAATGAATAGGCTTGGTTTTAAATTAGAGTCACAAAGAGTGAAAGCTACCTTGCGTGTTTTTCTTTCCAAATCAAATATTTAACAGAGGAAAACCACAGGTGTCACTGACAAGGAAATATTAGTTGTGGCTTAGAACCACATACATGGATTGAAAAGATGCAGGACCTGTCCTGCCACATGACCTTATAAGTACATAACTCAACTGATCACTGTAGTCACACAGGAGTTAGAAATCTGCCATTTGTTTCCAATAAACAGAATTTAACATTCTTTAAGAAACAAAAGTGGCCCATCCATTTCCCTAGTACATTCAGTGCTTGGCATTAATAAAGCATACAATCTTTTAATCTCAGTAGGCTTAGCACTATAGCGACGGTCAGATAAATGAGTAGGTAGCAAGAACAGAGGAACTGATGGCAGAACCTGAGTGGGGGAGGAAACCAAGGAGCCCAGAAGAAGTGCCCGCTCAGCATAGGGAGAGTAAGCCTAAGATCCAAACACAAGAGCAGCCTTCTGGATTGTCATTTTTGCAACATGATACAGAGGAGAAAGGCGCTACCTAGTGTTAAATAGTTGATTACAGACAAGAGCCTGGCAAGCAAATAAACAGAATGCAGTGGAAAATCTTTAAGTCCTCCATCATAGCTTCCGAAAAGAGATCTACCTGATGTCACATTATCAGTGAGCATTAGCTTATGTTGTTAATTCAGTTTACTCAATGAAAGCTCATCCAATTCAATAAGTTTGGGCTTCTTGTGCCTAAATTAGTCTTGAATTCTTTTCCCAGTTACTAGGCATAACATTCTGAAAAATATTTATTTTATACAACTAAAAGTAGATCTGATCAAAACTGGGAGAGCCTGGATCAAACAGAAAAGGTGAAATGGATTTGAAAGTTAATTGGAAAACAAAATCAAACAAATCCTTCTAAGTGAAAACTTCAGATAATGTGTAATTATATGCAACTATTAAGTGTACTACAATTTAAGAGTTACATGCATTTAACAAAATACCTAGAAGGAACACGAAGCAAGGAAGTGAACTGCAAGACAATGCTCATTTCTTCCTGCAGAGGACATACAGTAGCTACCAAGCTGTCTTGTTCTAGCCTGGGCAATTTGTTCAAAATTAGTGCAAGAGCTTATTTGAAAGCCTATTTGAAAACATCCTGTGTGGGAGTGATAATATGAATCTGAAGGACATCTGCTGCCCTTTATATCACGTAAATAACTTGCAAGATTTCTATCCTGTAAACTGGAAAATCTCACCTTCCAGACTCTGCAGATTCTCATACACCATCACTCTAAACAAGAATCTCATTAACTGCTGCCCCTGCCCAGTTCAAGACTGAATCTTTAAGCTGGAATGAGCACTGTCCTAGGAAAGTACATTAAGTTTGTCATCAGGTACCACTCAAGTCACAATTAATTTCTGCTGTCTGATTTATCTGCTTGGACAGTAAGCATAACATATAACGCAAATCACGCATCACATGACAATGCAGTGTCAATACAGCCACAGTGTCACATTCCTGTTAAAGTAAGAACAAATTCTGACAGCACTAAGCTCTCTCCCATCACTTAACTATTTCATTTTCACACCCTACAGTATGACTGCTTTTGAGAAATCCTTATTTGTTTTAAGCATGTGCCTTATGATGCTGAATCACACTGAGAAAACACCTATATATAATAAAGGAAATCATGGCTGCTCACTTCAGACTGCTGAATGTCATCCAAGTTAGGTGTCTAAACCTGAAGCTATTTATGTCTCCAGTTCTGAGACCACTTCATCAGGAAACAAAAAACAGTTGAGATACAGTTTCATATGGATAAAATTTTTCAGGTACATGAAACTGTCTCGAATCTGAATTAAGACAGACGTGATCCTTAAAGCTAGTAGTGGCTAAGCATTAAATAATTTGCACTGAAATGAACTAGTAAAACAGGTGTTTCTTGACAAATACACGAACATAACTGTTTTCTGACCCTCCTAGGGTCTACAACACAGATAAGATCATCCCCTATGTCCTCCTGTATGCCCTAACTTACGAGGCAGAAACAACTTATGATTTATTCCTCTCTTCTGTGCATGGTGAATTTTAATCAAGGAACAGTTTTAATTTCTTATTTCCTCAAAGAATCATTTGTAAAGTTGATAGTGCTTCAATAATAAAAGGCCATGCTTTTTTTCCCCCCCACTTGTCCACACAGAAACAAGAGGCCTTGCTTCTACCTGAGGATATTAGTTTTTCCTAAGCTAGAATAACTAGAAAATTACCACCTTCTGAAAGAAATAATTCTGTTAGAATGAAATAAAAGGCTTCTGATAATAAACATTACTCTTGCAGTTAACGGATATAACTGATGTAAGAACACACGCACGCACACACACTTTAAAAGCCATTCATTACCATCATTATCCCATATTCCAGAGAAGCCAAATGCATAATTAGTGGTTATCTCTCAGTGAGTCATATTTGTTAAAGTAGCCTTTAACTTACAATCAACTCCAGACAGAAAGGTGGACAAAGTTATCTGAAGCAACTCAGGAGGTTAAAAAAACAAACAATTTAGGTAATGCACGAAGTTAATGCTACCTTCCCCTGACCGACCACCGAATCAAAATGCTGCAACAGCTACGATTGCTTAGAATTCCTTGAAATATTAATCCATGTGCCAGCTACTGCCAATCCAAAGTGCCCTTTTAAGCTATGTGAAAAAGAAGCCATCTAAATAAACACGTAACTGATATTACAAATAAAAAAAAAAGCTAAGAGAAAGCTATTTGAAGTTTAAAATAAAGTTTCTATGACCAAACACCATGCATTTTGATATCAGCTCACCAAAGTTTAAGTTGACATTTGTTTCTGTGTTTTTTATTGTTGCTTTGTTTGGCTTTTTTTTACTAAAAAATCAAGTCTGTCACTAACTTGATTTTCAAAGACTCATCAGGGAAAAAAATGTTCATGAGTATAAAAACTAGAATTCATGCTATTCAGTTACTTTCCACAAATTACACTAAAAACATGCAGAAATATAACAAACACTTAGAGGGCAAAAATACAATCAACACAACACTTTTCAGCGATTTGTTTATTTTTTGGTTTACAAACAAAGGCACCCAATATTTCTGTTTGTCTTATAAAAGCTCACAGATTTAGCATTTGTTTCTGAACATCTGTTCCTACAGCAGAAAAACATTACAGGAAAATAATTTTTCCTGGTCCCAAATTTTAATACCTGTAACTGTTAAATGATCATGTTGTTTCAATTGCTCTTCTTACTTAACCAATTGGAATACCTCCTGTCATTTGCTATTCAGTACAGCGAATCCAGCTTCCTGTATCAAAACAAAGTTCCAGTCTATTTCTGACCAACATTTATTACGTGCAAACATTGAAGAACTGCAATAGAACAGGGTCCTGATATGGAAAGAAAACAGTACGTTCAACTAGAATTTCACAGACTGACCACAGGAAGCAACATAAGTAACGTAATAAATGTGACACTAAATCTATCATCAATTAAATAGGATGACTGATGAGTTTAAGATACCAATAGTCAACAGATAACCATGGACTCCAAAGAGAAAAAAATCTGAGTTTCTAAACTGTTAAATGCTTAAAGAGTAGAAGTGAAGTGTCCTTTCCTCCAGTTATATATTCAAAAGAGTAGATTCCTAAGCAGCTATGAACCAGAAATAATCAATTCATTGGCTTCATAGTTTGCATTATTAAGAGATCAATGTTAAAAGTATCACGTGGAGAAATGACTATGAAAAACAAATTTTTTAACTGAGTTGTTGCACAGAAATTATTTTTGGACAATGATGTACTTGTCTTTTTTGCAAACTTCAGTCACATGCCAACATGAGATGAGGACATCATTGGATTGTAGGCACCTCTGAAAAAGTCTACAGTGCAGGAACGCTTAAGCATACTTTCAGGTCTAGTAAGGTACTTGGAGAGGTAACTAAAAATGTAATACACTTAATGCATTAGTTAAAGTGTAACATCCTCAGTCATAGAAGCCATAATTTATTTTCAGCCACAGCCAGAGGTCTCTCACACAAGGTGTGGTCCTAGACCATTTAGGCTTTTCATCACAAGCTGTGTGTGTGTGTGTGCGTGTGTGTACACATACACAGATCATTTTAAAAAGGAATTACAGCTTAACTACTTACTACAGAATACTTAGCTTCAACAAGGAAGCCATTGTCTTTTCAAAATGAGATATACACCTGCATGAAAGGTGTTCTCCTTAAAGTAAGGAGTTTCCACAAGAATAGCAAAATAAGTTCTTTACATACTTAATTCAAATAGGACAACTACCAAGGGCAAGTATCATTTAGCTCTTGTGTAATTAAGTCATTATTTGTTTTTTCAAGCAGATTCAAGAACATATTAACATACAGTATAAACTGATTTTAATGAAAAACACTGGGCAAGGGTGCTGGTCAGTGCATCAATAAGAGGAAAATGACTGTTCTTAAGTAGAGTTCTATGTAACAAAAATTTCAAGGGACCTTTACTTATTGCCTTAAACAGGAATTCAGTCTTTTCTTACAACTTGCTATTTTGATGAGTTTTACCTACCAGAATGAATTAAACGCAGCAAAACACTTCATATTTAAACCTAATAATTTAAGCTAAATCATAGAAGAACTGTTAAGATATTTCCATTCTGAAGCACGATGCTTCTTGTTCTGCTTGCCCAGCAAAACAAAGGTTTTATTGGGGCAAAAATGAGAAAGAGTGCTTAGGCAATGGTGTTACGCATGCATGGAATTTTTCATCGCTTAATTTCAAGAATTCATGAAGTACTCACTAACACCATGCAGAAATTTACGAACAGGTATATCTCAACAAAACCCTACAGTTTGTCCAACTACAGTTACCAGTACTATGAATAACTATCAAGCATAATAAACTCCTTTCAAATACATTTACGTTTTGGAGTCAGAACTGTAACAATCAAGTGCTGGCTCTGTGTTACCAACAGAAAAAAAAAAAAAAAAAGGATGGTGAATGATCACTTTTTCCCCCCTCAGGGCTATATTCCTTTTATCTATTCAATGATAGGATCAATTCTGCTTTCAGAAAAGCAAATTGGTCATGCTGACATAAACTCAAGTAGGATGGGGTCAATTTTGAGCATGAAACTGAATCACACCTAAAACCAGATCACACAAAAGGCCTTTCTGTAACAAAGGGAGGGGACTTTCTCGTAAAGACAAGTAGTCATCATTACAATCTTACTTTGAGAAGACAAGAAGTGGCAAAAATAGTTTTTCCAGGAGATCCACCAGCATTTATGCACTGCGGCGACTGTAAAACCCTTTGCAATTTAGCAGGATTTCAAATAAATAGGTCTACAGTAACTAGCAAATCTTGTATCAATATTCACCTTTCTCAATGTGGAATAAAAATAAAATTATGTTAAGGCAGATTTCAATCAAAAATGTCCCAAACTGCACAGTTACGTTGGTCAGTGGTCTAAAATGTTCTGCTCAGGTTAAAAAGTTAAATACTTGCCTAAAGTCAATTCAGCCTGGCACTTGAACATTTTATTTTCTGTTTTCAGGAAGATATATAACTAACTTTACATACACCATACTATGTATTTTGCACTCCAATTTAAAATAATGTTTTTACAAAATGTGAGATGATTACATGTAACAGACTTTGTGTAGTTAGACTGCTGCTATATGCATAGATGCCCTAATGCTAAATTCTTGTTCTTCAGTATCTCATAGTACTGGAGGCTCTGAAGTAGGAGAGGAACTTGTAGCACAGACTAACCACAAAGTACCAGATATTTCTTGCCATTTGTGATCTTGCAATAAAGATGCGCCAAATCAGGATCACCAGAATTGTATTGAATCCATAGCGTATATTCCTTAACCTAAGAAGGAAAAAAAAAAAAGAAAATGTAAAAGCCAAGATAGAGCAGCCTACAGGGGAAAACAAAAAACATTTATCTACTCATCTCAAGACACACTATTCCAGTCATATTAAGTTAGTGTCTGAAGCTAGTCAGTTGAGGACCAAGCAGACTTTTTCACAGCTTACCGTTCAAAGAGAAACACATGAAAATTAAAAGGTCAGTCCTGTAGTTAAATAAATATACATCTGCTTCAATAATATCCATAAATTCAAACCAGTCTATTTAACACTATCATCTTCACTCCTCCGTGTATTTAAAACTGAACAAGCAGAGACATGAGAAAATTTCTCATGAAATACAGTCCATGATGTCCACTGCAACATTAGACTTCTTCTCAGGTAAGGATATTTAAAAATTAGGGAAACATAATATTTAGGGCATACTGCATATTTAGGGCAATTGGGAATTTTTGCTATTGTCTCATGTGTAAATATAGAAACTCCATAATAAACCAGAATTTGCACAAATTGCATAGACAAAGGAGAGACCTCTTTGATACAGCAGACCATGCCAATTTGTATTTTTAAGGCAACCCTACGAAAATACTCACTTACATAGCTGTACAGGCATACTAGATCTTATGCCCAGGCCTTACTCTACATAGCTTAATTATGCAAATATAGTCTGCTTCCATATTACACAAATTAAAAAAAGACCACTTCTATATTTAAGAAAGTATTCTGCTCAGTTTCCTAGAGAAGCCAGTTTCCTTAGGTTCCTGTATCTTGTCAGTATTGAAAATAGTCTTCTCAACTTCAGATTAGCTAGAGTTTAGTGTTAAATGGTAACAAAAGAGACAAATACAATACCTTGGACTAAAGATATGCTGGAGTCTAACCCTCAGGCAACATAATCCTTCTCTAAACAGAATTGAGATGATCAGATGGCATTCCAAGACTATTTTCTCATGTTATTTTGGTATAAGCCTTTGTACAAAGAATAACTCCAGCACATTTCTGAATGGCATTTAAATCCAAAATTCCCATAAGCTGCCTACAAATGTGACATTCACACTTACAGCATACCTGAACTAAAGTGACTATTTATCAAAACCAGATTAGCACATTGCTATGCCACATGTGGCCTTTACAGCCATCTCTTAGGATAGCGCAGGCAAGTTTGGCCAAAATTCTCAACACTGAAATCATTCATGTCAATCTCTTCAGAAGATCATCTAGAAGAAAAACGTCTGTCTATGCCAATAAAGATCTGAACAGTAACAACACACTCTAAGTGGAGGAGTTAACACACAGATAAGAGGCAAAGAGAAGCCATCTTGAAGGAACACTGAAGTTTCCTGCCCTGGAGTGGGGTCCATACATGCCTTTGTCTGCTTCCACAGAACACGCTTCCAAAGTAAACCATGATTGTTGTATTAACTCTCTGTGATTGCACAAGCTATTCTGATCTTGTTTAACTGTCTACTTTTTTTTAGGCCTTCCAAAATGGACCCTTATTAAAAATCAGAGGTATAGATTACACAGTATATACTAGCAATTGGAACTATAGCAATGATCCCAGACATACTGGAATTACTAGTAGTGAGAATAATACAAGACCAGCAAAAGAATGAAGAAAACTATAGACTGCTTCAGACAATTAAACTAGGACAGAACTAACCCAGCAGACCTATACAGAAGCTGTAACAGCTAAGTCACGAAACTGAAAAGCAAAACCTGACGTGGACAGGAGAAACACAGGAAAACAGAATAAAACCATAAAAATGAATACATACTTATTTAAGTGTTTCCTAGCAGCAGGGAGGCCAGACATTTCTTCATTCAACACATATTTCTTTGTTCCCATGCAGTAGTTTTCCATGTATTCTGCCCAATGTAGTTGTCGAACATCAAAATTAAAAGTCTGCATAAAACAAAAGCTTTCACTGTTAATTGCCTTAAAAAAAAAAAATAAATAAAAAATACTATTTTTGATAAAAATTTAAAGAACAAAGATGATCAGAGGGCTGGAGCACTACCCCTTTGAAGACAGGCTGAGGAAGCTGAGCTTGCTCAGCTTGGAGAAGAGAAGGCTGCTGGGTGACCTCACTGCAACCATCCAGTACCTAAAAGAAGCCTACAAACAGGAGAGGAGTCAACTCTTTACAAGGGTAGACAAAAGCAGGACAAGGGGAAATGGTTTTAAGTTAAGGGAGGGGAGATTTAGGTTGGGTGTCAGGGGGAAGTTCTTTTCTATAAGAGTGATGAGGTGCTGGAACAGGCTGCCCAGAGAGGCAGGGGATGCTGTGTCTCTGGAGGCATTCAAGGCCCTATGCAGCCTGGTCCAGTGATAAATGTGGAGGTTGGAGGCCCTGCATGCGGCAGGGCAGTTGGAACTTGATGATCCTTGAGATCCCTTCCAACCCAAGCCATTCTGTGATTCTATGATCAGTTGACTTCCTTGCAAATAAATTCAAGTTTTCTTCTCCTTAACTGTAAGAATGATATAGAGTTAGATCCTGTTTGCAACTCAACTACCAGCTTCCCATACAATCTCTTGAACTTCCATCACATCATGTCTTTTCCTCATCAGTAATGTTCTTCCCTCACTTTCAAAGTGCACTGCTATTCCATCTGTCCATACAGAATCCCACTCTGTAACTATTTTCTATTAGATGTTTCTTTTTCAGCCAGGAAATAATTCTTATATGCTGTAGAATAAGAACACTCTGTTCACTGATAAATGCAGTTTTTAACTGTTCTTGAAGTTGTACAGCTGTGTTTTACAAACAACCACATGAACATTTACAGAAGTTATTGTGGAACATTCACAACTCAAGTTTCTCAATGGTATCTATGTCATCTCAAAAGATTCCACAATAGCCAGGTAATTTCTAATAAAGACAATAAGCTCACAGATTCTGAACCAAAATACTCAAAACAGTGCTCCATAAGAAGCTGCCTAGTAGGCCTGTCTTGTGAAATTGTGAACTAACATGACTGCTTGCTTATAGCTTCTGAAAGTTCTACTGCCTTCCCTGACAAATCCCTTCCAGTTTGTAAGCTCATGCTATAGGCACTCACTGTAATGAATTTCTTTAATGTAGTGAAAGATCAGAAAGAGTTCAAACAGTGAGAAGAGCTGAGAAATCTAATGCTAACTACTGTCAATACTGTATTGACTATGGTTTGAAAAATGTGACACATAGCAAAATTACACCAAACAGGCCAAGTCAGAAATCAACTACAGCTTATGCTATAAAAGCATAGTTAGAGACCCAGTGGAACTATATACGCACTGTTATTAAGCATAAAAACTCCACCTTGAAAAAACTAACCTTCAAAATCCAGAAGGGCAGAAGGGCTAGACTGCAAGAACAGTAAGACAGCTCTTACGAGAAATTTCATTCACACTTACTCAGACCCTCTGCTCAACAACAGTTTTTCCTTCTTCCTTAACCACCTTCTCTGTATCCCTTCTGTGGCACATCTACCCCTCTGCATGGAGCAATTTCAATCAGACAGCAAATGAAAGGATTTAAATATGCAGCTGTCTTGCTGAGGTATGAAAGTTGTTACTGGTTTGAAAACCACAAAGCAAAGAAGTCCAACAAAACCTACTCCTATTCCTCAGAAGAGACAGTGCTAATAAAACAAAGCCTTGTTTTATTCATGGTGTAGTCAAGCCTAACAGCTCAATCACTTGGTTGATACAGAGAGCAAGACCTGAGTACAAGATCAAGTCACCCTAAAAGTCTTTTCTATCATGTCTTCTGCGACAGGTCCTGCCCTTTGTAATCTCTTATGACATTGCTGATTCAGCTTATAAGAGATAAACATACAGACAACCTAATACATCCAAAAAGACGTGGCAGGAATCTCCAGAATCAATTCAGCACCATGCTCTATTCTGCATTACAGTAAGAGGTATTTCCAATTCAGTTTATCTTAAACCAGTACACCTGCATTTCAGTTTCAGTTTCCCCATTCACATCACACAGCTACTTGCCTTTTTGTCTTCAGGGCTTAGTTGATTCATTAGCATAGTCATATTTTCAGTATTCCAGATCCAAGAATTGCTTGTAAAGTATTCTAAGAATACCATTGCCTTATGCAGACGTGTTATTGTTTTCATCATCCTACAGTCCAAGGAATGGAATGCACAGGTTACAGCAATAAACATGAGTTCAAACAAGAAAAACAAACCAGAAGATAGTAAGTTTCATTACTCTCTAACTCCATTCCCCTACATTAAAGTATATAAAAAAAAACCCCATAGTATAATATTTAATGCTTTTCACTTCAGCATAAATTAACAATTAACTTGATGAAAGTATTTAAAACCAAGTTGCACAGTGCAGAGCACGTTTCATGTAACAAGGGAGAAAGCTTCCCTAGTCCTCTGGCACACTATGCAAGTCTTTAAACAGTTTTGTTATTATCAATAACAAAATACAAGATCAATGATTAGAATAAACAGAAATTCAGCTTTTCCCCTTAACCCCTACAGCTTCCACAGCAAAGGGACAGACCACAGCAGATCCTGCTACTTAGGCGATCAGTTCCAGGTTACTTCAAAATATGCAGAAATACCTTCCATTATGCTTCATTATGCAGACTGCAATTCTGCAAGAATATAACTCACAGTACAGAGAAACGATGCTATAAGAATCAATTTGGGCAAGTTTCCCTTTAATCAGAGTATATGAAGTAAACCCAAAAAGTGAGCTATTTAGTCTCATGTGAAAGAATTTTCCTGCTGTAAATGCAGGAATTTTGCAAGCGTTACAGTGCTAGAGATGGTCACTTAATTTTAGTATGTAGTTAGTACTCACATATCCAAATGCTACTACATTTTTGCTTTGGGGACTTGAGGTATTTTCATTTGACAGAACTGCTTCCTTATAGCAGGACACACTGTTCATTTTAAGCAGATACAAAAGTGGTGTGTGGAAAAAGCTAAGAAAGCAGAACAACCCAGCAATAACAGGAAATTGCTTTCTGAAGCTAAGCTTTGTTCAAAAGAATTCACAGCAGCAATAAGTCACCTCTTTTTCTCTGAAAGTGGCCTAAGTGCATTCATACTTCTAGGACAGATACAGCATATTCTCAGAAAGTCACCTGACCAACATATTTTGCATTGCACAACTAACATTAACAGCCAGTATCTCACTTCTAAGTGAATATTAATACTGCCTCTTTTTTGATTTTAATGGACTAATAAAAATGATAGAGATGACTGAAAATGCAGAGCATATCTGATGCACAAAAAGTACAAACACTTCCCCAGTATAATTTGTGTTCCTGCAAAATGCTAAACAGTGTAACTGAAAATTTGAGCAGATAAATGTAAATTTGAAGTTTGGTGCAGGCCAAACATTGTTTTTATCTCTTTTTTCTAAGACACAGAATGTTATTCTATCTGCTTATGCGTATGTTATACCGCATAGCGAAGCTAACTAAATAAAAACACATACCGCTCAGGTAGCCAAAGAAGATTCTTTTACCTCATCTGCAGACTTGCTCGCTCTCTCTCTCTCCCTCTCTCCCTCTCTCACATTGAATTTAGTGACTGACCACAGAATCAGCTGATGATTCATATCATCAGTGGAGACTGTTCCTTTTCTTTGTAGGGCTAGTTTCTTGTTACATCAGCCAAAATAAATGTCTCTGTTCTCTGAATTGCTAGACCTCACAAGAGGGAAGTGGCAGGAGCTTGCGGCTAAGGGAAGGCAGAAGACCAACCTCCTCAGCAACAGCTTATTAACTCGCACTAAATCAACAAGAAACTACTTTAAAAAAAAGAAAAAAAAGGAACCTCTTACATTCAAACATGTCAGTAAAGCAAGTAATTTAGTGGATGCCTGAATAGTTCTAGCAGACTAGGCCTTTTGGTAAAGGTATTTTAAAACTTGAACAGCACCATATTTCTCCTGCAAATAGGAATATACAGATAACTGAAAGAAGAATACGTAAAATATTTAATAGAACTTTTAAAAATACAGTTCATAGGTTGTTCCGCAGACAGCAATTAGCTACAGTTCTTTGGTATAAAAAATATAACCAGTCAGGGCAGCAAACACTGTATCACATCTTCTTTACAAACTGAAGACAGAAAAACCAGACCTGCTGATAACATGGAACTGAATACTAAGAGCAGTCAGCAAGTCAGTATAGCAACACATAAGGCATTCACTGTACAAGCCAGAGTTTTGCCTTCAGCCAGTCTCTAATGTCCTTTGAGCAAGATGCATACAAAATACAACTGGTTTAGAAATCACATGTTAAGAATTAAAAGATGGAAGCAACACTTACACAAATCAAGCATTTACAATTCTAGGAGGCATGTTTCTACACCAGAAAATAAAAAGTAGCCCAGCTTAAGGCTTTAACTGCATTTTGAACAAGTCTTAAATACAACCTACTGACTTAGGTCTAAAAAGTTCTGAACTCAGATACAGATTGATCCTTCAATAGATGTACGTGCTGTCAATATTCAAAGCTCAGCACAAGGTATTAGAGATGAAGAAAATTAAGATTTCTCTGAGCTACACTAAGCAAGCTTCCCCATTTGTCAAATGAAACAGGTTGTCATTTATCTTTAAGCTTTGATGTTTAAGACTAACTGGAATTCTTTCCTAGCAGCTCTCATTCCTGAAAGTGCACAATTTTTCTTCAAAGTCTTCCCAAGAGGCAGTGACTACGTTGAAGGTGGTTTATGTTAATCTTAGTAAGCTTTAATTAAAATTCTCTTTACACCTCCCCAAATTCATCAGCTCCACTTTCTCTTCAGCCATCTAAGTAGCAACAGAAAATGAACTGCTGGAAAAAAATCCCTCAATTACAGCTTTAATATTGCTGTAATCTTCCAGACTAATCGGAAGGATCTTTGAGTGCCTATTTTCAAGTGCTTAAATATTTCAAACATACTGAGCTTTTTATAATAAGGTTCTGCTGTTACAAGTGCTATGCAACGTTACAAAATTGGAAGCATCTACTACGCCTTATATTAAAGTTTATTAGACGACAAATAAGCCGTGCTATGCAACTAAGTACACACAGCAAACCACTGACAATGCTATCGAACTTGGACAGTGAAGACTATTACCACTATTTATATAACTACACAATACTATAACTATACTATACAAATATACAAATATAACTAAAAAAAGTCTTCAGCCATCTGAAAGATTAAATCCTCACTATGCCATTCAATCCTTACTGTAGTTTTAACACTCACAAAATTTAGAAGGAACATTACATACATTTTTTTCTTTATTTTCCTCAACTGTTATTAATACAGAACTGTTAAATAGAAGAAGGCTTAACTGGAAGCAAAAGTAATTAAAAAAAATCTCCTCTCTCACTAAAAACTTTAACTGCTTCTACAAGTACTGCATAGAAGATGAATTTCATATCACAAAAAGACTTCAAAAAGCCAAGTCTTCAAAAAAACCTCATAAAACAATCGTTCTGTTTGTTGGTTATTTTTGGAATTTTTAATTATTATTAGCATAATCTGTTAGTTGCAAGTGGTCCTAGGTCTGATCTAGTTCTACCTGCTAACTGTCTCTTATTCAGAAACAGTCAAATATCCTGACAGTATGGCAATAGTGCAGTTCAATCTGTGTTAATTTTGTTATTTAGTTTTTTCTACATCATATGCAATAAACATCTCAGAAGTGTATATAGACAGAGAGAGGGTAGGCTATGTACCATGTGAAGTCAAGCTGGTTATTCAGAAATGCTTGTGCCAATTTTATCACCTTTTTACTATACCAGTCAAATCATTCATACTAAATCACGGTGGATAAATGTTGCACTTGAGATTAAGCTAGCCCTTCCTCATTCCGCATTATAGAAGTATTACTTCTTTAAAAGCAGTATAACAAATTCAACAATCTCCAATTGTGTTTCCAAGGCTTAAGAGGTTTCCTAATGCATGTCACCTGGTAATTAAAATCAGAGGTCAATGAGACACAAGACCACAGCAGCAAAAGTACACTCCTTTACCAGTGTTCTCTCCAATGTGCCAGTTAAAACAGGTTTCAAAATACTTACAGCCAAGAAATTAGAAACAAAGCTGGACAAGAATAAAGATCTGGCTCCATTTTGTCTGTTATTCAATAACACAAGAGGCCCATTAGGACTTAAAACCCCACGTCTCCTTTGCATTTAAATAAGTTCCCTTACACTGTCCTAAAACAGGCTCTCATTTAAAAAAAAAAAAAAAAAAAAGCTTAAAAACAAAAAAAGAAACATTAATTAATTAAGAATCATTAAACATATATTCCTTTAAATGTACTGGGTGTCAAACTTTACAGCTTTTTCTCCAAGCAACAAAATTAAACTTTATAGCCTTTTTTTTTTTTTTTTTTTAAATTTAGTTGAACTTTTTTTTTTCCCCAACAAATTGGAGATCTTGTGCACAGTAGGAAGCCTGCCCACCTACAACTATACTAAACCAACTGCTAGAACTCACTAATACTTCACAGGCAGGAAGATAAACTTTCCACATCATCAACTACACTACTACTGAGTAAGGTTCTAAAATGTGTGTTTGGTGTCCAAATAAGAGCTCCAGGAGGAACAAAAAACAAGACTCAATATTTCCAACATTACAAATGTAAAAGCGATCTAAACAACGTGTTAACATTTATTGCCTTGGATCTGAGTTACTATCCCACTGATTAAACACTGACAACATTCTAGCAGTATTATTTCCTGCTTGTATGATAGCAGGTTGGTTTTTATAGCAGTTATTTTTAGCAAGTGATAAAATCTTCATATCTTTCGGGGAATCTCTACAAATTACTCAAAAATATTGATATTATTGAAGAATCAAAACAGCTGAGAACTCACACTGAAAGCCTTTGTTTGATCTGTAGAGTTTAAATGACACGGGGAGCTTACCATACAGGCACAGCTTCCCATCACTACTGCTGCTGTATTACACCACTGAGTAGGCCGGGAACAAAAGAATCCAGATTGGTTTATAAGTTTTCTCTTACCAACCACTTACATGGCTTCTTTTATTGATCCAATGCCAAACCTGTTATATGATTTTTTTCCCCTCCTAAGACAGACCTAGACTACAGACAATGAAAGAATACTCACTTGTCTTAATACACTGTCACCACAGTGGAGATTTTAGAGTCTGAAGACGAATACTTTTGAAAACATAATATATACAGTGAGTTAAGATCATACGGCTTGGAAAATCTGAAACAAATTGCAGTGATGTCACATATTCCTTCTATGTAATCTAGGTTGGCCTATTTAGCAGGATTACGCTATTTTCACCACTGCAGAAGTTAGCCAGCTAGTAATTACTATAAACTGAATGGAAGGTTGAGATGATACAAAGCATACCAGATCAGTCTGTATCATATACAAGAATAACTTGCAGTTATTAGTGATCTCCCTTCCATTTTCAGTTTATAAAAGCAACAACAATCTTAATGCCAACCACTTTGCAGAGTGGAAATGCAGTCAACGGATTGTTATTGCTCACAGTTAGTAAATCTAGACAGAACCCATGCCACATCCTCTTCACAAGCCTCCACCACCTTGCCAACAAGGACACTTCTAGCCCTGTCCTTCTTACCATGGCTTATGACCTGTCAATTTGAGCAACACATCATACGAAATTGCAGGCAGTATATGGCGAACTGCAGTCCGATACTGATGTAAAAGAGGATTGGAACAAAGAACAATGCTAGGGTGCCTTACTGCACCATCTAATGGATTTGTCTTGTAATTCAAATATAGGTGGTATGCTGTAGGAAAAAATAAGGATCAACATATTTTTAATACTTATCGTTTATGAACGAACATTTGCTGTATTTTATATTCTTTTTACCTTGACTACTCAACCCCCCCAAACAAAATATTCAACAAAACATCCTCATTTTTTGCTAGAAAGTTTAAAACTCACTTCAAATTCAATGACCTATTCTCAGAGACAAAAGGATAAAAAAAAAAGCTGAGTTTTAGTCACAAAGCATTCAGGAGAAGACAATGAATATACATCATCATACTGCAAGCATAGCTTTGTTTAAAAGTCAGAGGAACAGATAAGACAGAGCTAGTCATCATTACCTTGGACTTCTTCCAGTAATCCTGAGGTAGATATCATACAGGAATGCTGGGGCCTTATGGCTTACAGCAATCCAGTAATGATATAAAAGGTGATTGGAAGTTAGATTTACATTGGGCCGTCTGAAGGCCTGTTCGAGAGGATTCCTCTTGAAAGTAGAAATTACATGGTACTCTGAGAAAGAAAAGTTGCGTAACAGCTTTGATAGTAACCATGTAAAATTCAATGGTTTTCAGAGAATATTACAGTGTACAATACCTACTTTAGTATGCCATTCAAATAACCACCCTCGCTCTTCTACAAATCACAAAAACTAAAACAGTTAAGCTTTTAACTTAAGATACTGTTAAACTGGTTCATGTTATTATCAAGAGGCCTTTTATGCTTTTATCTTCAGTAGTATTTTACTATAGCTTCTCTCTTTCTGTTCCTCTTCCCTACACAATAAGTTGATTTCAAGAATTCAGTTAATAATATAGCACATAAAGCTACTTAAAAATTCCTCTGTATTTCATAAAGCCTTTTCTAGACTTGTATAAAAATACTTTTGAAAACAGACTGAGGATTAGGCAAACATCTCAAGCGCATTTCAAATTACACTTCCTACAAGTTGCCATATTCAATCACTTTTATGAAACGCTGTTAGGACTGGACTTTGAGAAACTGAAATTTGACAACCTGAAAATTCTGTGCATGGTGGACATGCACATCTTTAACAGTTATCTTGAAATTCACTTGGTCTTTGCAATCATCTCCTGCAATTTTACGCTGTTACTTATAGAGTGTAACACTCCAGTAAAATTAGGATATAAATGAAGTCAGCAATTTTCCAAGTTGAGCTGAAGCAATAAGGTTTATAAATATAGATAAATAAAATGGGCAAAAGTAAGTAAAAGCATGAAGAAAGTAGTCAAGAGAAATAATATGGATTTAAGTAATTAGGATACAGAGAAGAAAATAAACTAACCTTAGGAACTCTGTTTCTAAAAACTGGAGAGCTAACAAATGTTTAGCAAGGTAAACCTGCTGGCACGGTGTTTATTATAAGAACCACTACAGAGTTCCTGGCACATGGGTTACATTTTAGTCAGAATATCTAAGAGTTGAAAATAGGTGCCCATGCTTTCTTAAAGATGTCTTTTCCCTCTGCTTAAGTAGTCTCATGTAACTGTCAGGTAATTAAAACAGCCATTAAAAAAAACCAAACAACCTGAAGCTAGAAACAAGAAGCTTCAAGTGCCAAACTACTATCATACCTCTCAATTATGCAGCTGCACAAAGTACTTCTAATTTTGAACTATTTACCCACGTGTTTACAGTCAGGTTGGCATTAAATCCACAATCACTACTTCTCCTCTCAGCAGTGCTCTTCTTTGTGTACTACCCACACTGCACAGATCAGGCTGCGGCAGCATCAAGCACACATAATAAAAGTATTTATAAAAAAAAAAAAAACCATGCAAAATACAGAAGAGAATGAAAAAGCACAATGCGCTGCAAAATTGAGAGGCATGGCTATTATACTAGTTTCAACAACAGAAAGGCAACATGACCTACTGATTTCCCCCCTCCCCTTCCCCAACTTGACCTTAGTTTTCTGTTAAAGTTTATTAAAAAAACATGGCATACCAACTTCACTCCAGTGGAAAGGGTTGGTGCCACCTGTTGTACAGTTATATACCATGATATTTCTTGGTCTGGAAGAGAAAAAAAACAACCAATAAGTTAAAGAACAAATAAGTTTTTAAAAAGGAAGATGGGAGAGGAGGAAAAAAGCTGCCATAACACCAAAAATCATACCTGAAGTTAACCTAACCAGTAACATAAATTATTTAAAACAAATTGTCAGCCTCATATTAGTTTTTTTGCTTCCTATTAAATTCTTCCAGTATTTAAATCCATCTTTAACTAATGCATATATATATATATATATATATATATGCATATGCGTGTATACAAACACACTGTGTGTGAACAATTTTCTCCACCACAGAAGGCTTTTTCTAATTACTGTAAATTACAATGGTCACAACAAGGCTCAGGAAGAATTACTTAAGTATAGGTTATACAGTAGTATCATAGGTCTTATCTTCCCCTTCACTATGAAGTGCTAATCATCGCTTTAAGTTACACACTGATGGACTAACACTGTTAGAATCTTAAAGCCCTTTATCCTGTGGGAACAGCAGAACACTGATTAAGTATCAGAATGATTAGTACCATCACTTCAAAACACTTAGCAATCTTTACTGTCACTTGCTGTACCTATTAACTCCAGAATACCAAGCTGCAGCCAGTGTCATATTGACAACAACATCTACTGGAACAAGATCTGCTACTGCACCGTTGGAAGCTCTCATTGTTCGAAGAATTCCTTTTCCTGCCTTAAAAAAACAAAATAAAGAGACAAAAAAATGCACCAGTAAAACACACGAAGCTTCTAAATGGAAGAATTTTTAAATATTTTTAAAGTAATTTAATATTAAGAAATTACTTACAGCAATGAAGAGACCACTAGGTCCATTGAAGTTATCAATCCATCCCTATCGTGAACAGTTGGGAGGAAGAAGTTTGAGTTAGCAAAGTCAACAACTTTAAGTGAAAATTTGTCAAGTTAACTCAAAAGACATATTAGTTTTCATACACCTAAATGAAGCTCACCCAAAGTAAAATCAGGTAACATAACATCCTATAATACAGATAATCGGTCTCTGTAGTTTTACTGGTCCTTTTAAGTGAATTATTGATTTGCTTATTTCTTACAGTTAATAAAATGCACTACACGTTTATGTCCCAAATATTTATATTTTTATATTTATATTTTTAGAAAACTTCCATCAACTCAGTCCAATAGCTGCCAACAAAACTGCAAACTCTTGTGAGGGTTTTGGTGTGTTTTGTTTTGTTTTTTCCAAGTAGAGAACATTTTCACTTAACTTTAAAGCCAATATTTAGACATTATGTACGAATTGTTCTGACACATACATACTCCAGATTTGTGGTGTCAATTATACGTATTATTGAGTAGTTAAGAAATATTTAGTTGAACTGAAGCTACTCCAGCAGTGTCTCCCATACACGAGGAAGCATATAGCATAAATACTATACTATACATATATCAATATATAGTATAGAGCAATACATACAATGCATGTCATTCCCTGCCATTACGAAGCTTGGTTCAGTGTTTTGACTCCACTTGTCTTATGTGCCACACACCCTATTTTCCTTAGTGACACTTCATAGCTATTGACATGTTAAAGCACCCTCAAGAAGGAAAATGGTTGCAAAAGATTTTTACATGTGAAATCGTGTCTCCCATTGTGACATAAGTATGCTGTTCCACATTTAGAAGTAATTTACATCCCTACACATCCAATACATGCAAGTATCCTGTTTGATGTCTTTTCTATCATAGCTGTTAACCAGAAGCAAATCAAGCCACAGCTCTGAAATCTAAAAGGTTTTCTTCTACAAAGTTCACTACACACACAAGTTGTCAGTACATACTACAGTTTACAAGCAAGACAGACAGATGAAAACTCAATAACTTACAGGAAAAGGCTCCTTCCAGCTAGCACCAACAATAGACGGCCTTATAATGGCAGTGTTTAGTCTTGCACCTTCTTGCTGTACTACATATTCAGCTAAGGCTTTTGTGTATGTGTAGGTGTTAGGCCTGTCACCTATAAGCTTAGGAGTAATATCATTTACGAGGCTATCATCCATCCACCTAAAGAAACAAAATAAAAGAAAGTGTAAATAAATGTATGCTGTTTCACTGGAGAAAGTGAGAGGAAAAAAGGAAATCTAAATAAATAAAGACTTCTGAAAGTAAAACTTCTATCCCATCTTTTCAAAATATCACCCAGGAAAAACAGTGTGTAAGCACTTCCCAAGAACCTGCATAAACACACACAAATAAGAAATTCTGCAAAGAAACATAGGTAATAATTAACAATTCGGTTCCATATTTCCTGTGTCTGCAATAACCCCACTAGATAACACTAAATCTGTATATTTTAAATCTCAGCTTGAGTCTCTGAAGCTAAATCCAGCTCCCACTGAATTCTGCAAGTCACATACTTTCACATTAAACTTAGAAATTGTAAAACATTTCCATAAGTATTTGTTTATCAGAATTTGCTGTCAGATTATATAGGGTTTGGCTTTAAAAAAAAAAAAAAAATCTATAGCTTCCAAAATATAATTTAAGAAAATGAAAGAGACAGGATTTTTGCTTATTTAAACTAAAGGTTAATTTTTGAAAGATGACAGAAAAATATCAAGTGTAACAAAGCCCGTCTTCTACTCATTTTTCTTAACAACAACTGCATATTTACAGAACTGGTCTGAAAGAAGAGCTTAAGGAAGAAAGTTTAATATGAGAGCCTACAACAGCAGTGTAGTTAGGATGGTTTATTGACACTATCACTAGCTTACATAAGACTGCTAATACTGATTTTCATGCTCATTTGGCTTTAAATTAAACTATAAAACTTGAGCTTCTGAGTGCAAATATTAAGAACAGAAACTTGTTTTTCCAAACCAGAACACGTGGCTAGTTCCAAAACACTTCTGCAAACATTTCATAGGGTATACTGTAGACAGTATATTTATAAGCTTAGTTAAATATAAAAGCTTGTTTTTAAAAAATCCTTGCTATTTATAATAAAAGTTACTGTGATGTCTTGTTTGTATTTTAAAAGAGCATACAGACTGAAACGGAAAATTCACTCCATGAGCAAAAGAGAGAAGGGCTGCATGTTTTGAAGTCCACTGGAAGAAGCATAAACTAGTTAAGTTCTTGTCTGATTCACTCATTTATTATACTCTATACTTCTGTACTGAAGAGCCTCTGCAAAAACCTCTTTGGAAAAGGGACAGTGAGGTTCCCAGCATTAATAAGCTAAAAAGCTGATAAAATTACAAGTCCCAGAATTACCTCCAATGTTGGGTTAAGTGATCATACATCTCTAAAGCAAGCTGGGACAGAGGGGTTCCTGACAGCCTAGCCACATAATTCCACAAGCTCCAGGGCTAATAAGACAGAGTGCAAAAACTTCCTTCCAGTGGCAGCACACAAGAAGCTCAGTTTACCCCACTTACTCTGGAGGCTTAGAGAATAAATGCATTATTTATCACCTAGAGATCTCTATTATGTTCCAGACTCCATTCCATATCATGCAACACTTTTTTTTTTTTTAAATGACAAGATTTCCTTACAAGATTCAATACTACTCTACTCCATACCTAGCTCAGCTTTAAGTGACCTTGAAATCTCAGCTTGTTTCCTTTACAGAAAAGGGTAGTGTCAGTCATACTTCAGATTAACAGGACAACAAACTTGTTTCTTAGGTTCTCTTTCTTAGCTGTTTGATACTTCACTACTAGAAAGCAAATAAAGATTCCTGAATTAGATTAGTAAAGCATAACACATACTCAAGAGAATCCATCAACTTCTTGGGATCAACAGGAGGTGGATAAACAATTTCCTCAATATGTTTTCGATTGCAATATGCATACGCAGTGGAAACATGCATGAATACTTCTAGATTCGTCATTTGCTGTGCCAAAGAAAGGAGCTGCTTTGTGGAAAGCACATTTAACTGAACGGCATCTCTGTTGATTAAAAAGAAAGTTAATCAGTAAAAAGCAATACACAAAAAACGCATAAAGAAAAAACGAGTCAATCCACTAATTCTTTCCTAAATACCTAGTGACAGATATATGTGTTATTTCTAACATTCCTGACTTACTTCCTTACCCCATGTACAGTATCATAACCTTCTGCTCATAAAAATATGACACAGTCTATGTAGAAATTTCTCTCAATGTTCAGGATACTTTAAGTTCTACCCTGTTCTTATTGGTAAGATAGGTAAAGTCAGCATACTTTTGGCTTCCTCAAGCTAAACCCTAATACAGTAAATTTTTCAGAAGATGCAAAGGAAAAAGAGATACAACAGAACACCCAGCTACTGTATGAGATGGCTGTCAATTTTAACAGCAGCTTTAAACTTCCTAGCTCAAGTTAAGTCAACACCTCAGGAGGAAGGCTTAGAGAGCTAATAATTTGGATTTGGCTAGCATTTTCTTGTAGGACAGCTGAAGACTCAGTAGCACAAAAGGATTACATAAAGAAAAGAAGAACAAATAAAAAGGATTGAAATACCATACCACATACTTCCATCTCTCTAACTTAACTGCTTCTCATAAAAACAGCACCCTTAAGGACGCCATAGAGATATACCTAGTCTCTTACATATTTTGCACCACATCATAAAACACCTTAATGATCAACTTCTGTGATTGTTTTATACGTTTATATACATTTATATACATTGAGGGGATAATGGCCACCCTCAGCAAGTTTGCTGATGATACGAAGTTGGGAGGATTGGCTGACACGCCTGAAGGCTGTGTTGCCATTCAGCAAGACCTGGACAGGCTGGAGAGCTGGGCAGAAAAAAACCAGATGAGGTTTAACAAAAGCAAGTGTAGAGTCTTGCATCTGGGGAGGAATAATTGCATGCACCAGTACAGGTTGGGGCATGAGCTGCTGGAGGGGAGCCCTGCGGAAAGGGACCTGGGTGTCCTGGTGGATGACAGGTTGGCCATGAGCCAGCAGTGTGCCCTTGTGGCCAAAAAGGCCAATGGCATCCTGGGGTGCATTAAAAAGAGCATGGCCAGCAGGTGGAGGGAGGTGATCCTCCCCCTCAACTCTGCCCTGGTGAGGCCTCATCTGGAGTACTGTGTCCAGTTCTGGGCTCCCCAGTACAAAAAAGACAAGGATCTCTTGGAAAGAGTCCAGCGGAGGGCCACGAAGATGGTGAAGGGCCTGGAGCATCTCTGCTATGAGGAAAGGCTGAGTGATCTGGGTCTGTTCAGCCTTGAGAAAAGGAGACTGAGGGGGGACCTGATCCAGGTCTATAAATATCTAAGGTGTGGGGGGCAGAATGGCGAGGCCAGACTCTTTTCAGTGGTGAGTGGAGACAGGACAAGGGGAAACGGCTGGAAACTGCAGCATACGAAGTTCTGCACCAATGTGCGAAGGAACTTCTTTACAGTGAGGTGACGGAGCACTGGAACAGGCTGCCCAGGGAGGTGGTGGAGTCTCCTTCTCTGGAGATGTTCAAGACCTGCCTGGATGCCTACCTGTGCAACCTGCTGTAGGGAACCTGCTTTGGCAGGGGGGTTGGACTCGATGATCTCTGGAGGTCCCTTCCAACCCCTACAATTCTGTGATTCTGTGATTCCAGATATTCTCTTCAGTCTACAGAACTTACTATGGGAGCCAGCATTCTTGTATACAACACACTAATCAACTAAGATTCAAGAATGCTGCTAAATCAAGCTTTGCCAAACCTTTTCCCCCACAGTGTTACATTAACAAAATGTTTATTTTAGGGAGGGAAAAACAAGATTAAGGCTGCTTTATCACATATTATCACCGAAACATTAGGGGACAGCAGCCACGGAACTGTTCTAAAGCAATAAACACCATTCAAAAATATTACCTCCAAATAAGTTACTCTGTTGTTCTTAGTCCTCACTTCCTCTTTAAGGAGGGCCAAGTAAAAAGTTAATGATAATATCTGTACAGTGATGCAGGCAGCTTTCAGGCAAATTAGGAAGAGTTTCAAAATAAGCCTCAAGTATTTCACTTCCTTGGTTTCATTCCTACTGCTGACCCCTAGCTAAGTTATTTTGAAGCCCATTGGAAGAAGCACATGCTATGTAAGTTTTTGCCCAATTTATTATATAATGACTAAAGAGCAACTACTATATTCCTCTAAAAACATATTAATTCTATCAAGTGAAGTCTCAAACAGAAAGTGCAGCCACAGCAAGTTAGTTTCCTTGGAAGAAAGGCAGTGAGCTTCCCAGCATTAAGTGACCCAGGAAGTAATACCACCAGAAAGGAGGTAACTCCCACGTTACGGTATTAAGCCACTTTACATCATTTACTCCTCTTAATAAAGATCTGATGAAGGCTGATTTTAAAAAAAAAAAGAAATATTCTGGCACATCTGCTAGGTTCTCCAGCCCCAAACCCATCCTAATAAGTGTTCATTTTCTGCTGTGTAAACAGTGCACTGCATCCTCGAGTGGAAATTGCCAGAGGCTTAACTACATCAAAAGCCCATTTCACTAGACTTTCAAATTGCTGCAGACTCCTTTAGGCCTCTGACAGGTTGGCAGCTCCCTAGCATTCTAAGGCAGTAGAGCAGTGATAAAAATGGGCTACCTTCTACTGTTCCAGTATACAGGACAGAACTTTCAGAGAGGTGGTGCCATCATTTTTAACAACTCAACATTCTCTTCATAGAAATTTGAGCTGTTTACCACAAGATCATAATATCTGTTTGTTTGGAAACTGCTGAGTCACGGCCTGAACCTCTGACTGATCACCTGAGGCAAGCAAGCAGTCAGCCACGGGAGCACAGTGAAGGCAATTCACCTGTGCTGCAGGAAGGGATGGAGCCTGGCTGCACCTCTCCTAGACCCATTTAAGAGCTGACTGCCAGTGGGGAAGGATCTCTTCTGGAGATCTGCTCTGCTGCAGTTTTGTGAGTGAGCCCAGGATACGAGTAAGCTTTCTATCTATTCTCTTTTTGTTATTATAATCTGCTTTGCCTAACTCATTGCTCACCTCAGGTGATCAACCAGAGATTCAGGCCATGACTCAGCAGTTCCCATACACTGCTTCAGAAGAATTTTCTTGCTTTTGAGAGCCTTTATTGTATTATTTCCTTAGTACAGTTCCTTTCCGTACAAGATGAAAGCTATTGCACTTGCAGTTTTCAACCGATTTCTAATTCTCCCTATTCCAACCTCTGCAAACTTCCACTCTTCTTACTGAATGACTTTCTGAAGTTATTTAATCTGCTTTTTTGTTCCTCAAGGAAATAAATCAAGTACTGGAACTGTTTGTATTCCCTCTTACACACAAACTCCAGTATGAGTAATGAACACAGTACACACTATATAGCTACAGCTCATTTACATCCTCTCCAGCTCTCCCAGAAATTGGAGCAATGCATGAAGGAAGACTAAGAAAAGCAACTGTATCTCCAAGCTTCTTCTCAACCACTTCCATTCAAGAAGGGCTTTGAAGATTAGGCAAAGGCCTCTAGTTAAATAAGGGAGCCTTCAGCAGAGTAAAAAAAAGGAAATTATCCATTTCATTTCTATGCACTAATAGTCACCGTGTCTAGAATTTCACACTGTATTAAAGGTCATATTGAGTTCTGCAATTCTAATCTCTGACAATGCAAACTTAAATACTGTACCTCCATCTCTTTAAGAAAAGAAGAATAAAACCCAGTAGCTAAATATTAGTTCTAGGGAAATGATTCTACTTCAGATACTAATCTTTAAATTGGCCAGACAGGGAAAAACAAGTTACACATCAGACCACTACATTTGCAAGGCTGTGAAGATATCCTTTCCTCTGAATACCAACAGCTTATCACACTAGACCTTACAGAATTGTAGACTCACCTTAGTGTTTCATTGAATCTGACTGTAGCAGCACAATGAAATATAATATTAATGCATTCTATAAGTTTTTCCTTGACTGGGTCGCTAAGGTCCAGTTCAGGCTGAGTAAGTTCACTTGTAATCACTACAATTTTTTCTTTGAAGTCTGGCTGCTCCTCTCTCAACCTGTCAAAGAGCTGTCAAAAAACAAACATAGGAACAAAAATTCAAACTGATAGCCAACAAAGATATGATTTATAACTGAAAAGCCACACTTTTTGTCTACATACTCATCTTAACAAGTTAGCAATCTTACAACATGCTACTGACTTCCCAAGAACACACTCTGTGTTGCATTAGTACCTAGTTTATCCAAAACAGCAAAACCAGAAGTACTGCATGTTTTACACAGAAAGCAGTAAGACTTCAAATAAAAATTTTCTAATAGTCATCCCTATCCTGGAAATCAGATATCTCGGAATGTCAGAAGGAATAGCCTCTACAAGACAATAGAACATAAAGCCTTTTTAGGCAGCAGTCTTAGCACTGCTCTCTTTCCTTGCAGCAGGGAGGACTACGAACCTGCACAAGTTATTTTAATTTTTAGGTTTAGAAAGCTTTTGTTAAGCTTGAAAAAAATCCAACATTTATGGAAAAATATTCCTGGACTTATGCCAGATTTTGGGAACTTCCAGATTAAGAAACACAGAAAAATTACCTGCTTCTCTAGCCAATCAAGAGAGAAAATAACAGGGTTAAAGGCCTCATTATGTTAGAGTATCTGAGTAATTCTTATCAAACTGGTGGTCAACTACTTAAGTAGCAAAAAAAAACCAACAACCCACATCTCTCACCCACACCTGTGTTCATCATACACCCTCCTCATGGTTAACTGGATTCTAACCATGCAGCTTAATATGCAGATAATTAGCATGCAAGTTATCCTGAGCAAAAGAGTACTGTGAGTATGGAGCTAAATGCACCTGAAATTTTAATCAGAACAGGCCCTACTTAATTGCACATGGGCCATTCAATAGCAGTAACACTGAAGTAAGAATGTAAGATGCATCTAGTAGTAAAAACTTTGGATCAATTTCCCAAGCAAGAGATTTCACCTTTAAAAGACAAAGTACCCAAGGTAGCACTTAAAGACTGTGATCACAACTGCTTCCACTGAACAAGACATTGCTGCACTAGAACTAGAGTGAAATACCCCAGTAGCTTTGCGATTTTGTCTTTTTTACTTTATAATACAAAAATACATTTTAAAAAAGTTTTGTTACTTACATGCATTAACTATACTATATATTTTATATGTGGCCCAAGACTATTTCTATTCAGTCAGCGTGGCCCAGGAAAGCAAAAAGGTGGGACACTCATGCAGTAGCTATTCTTCTCAGGAGGAAAGTACCCTCACTCAGTCCACACATCTACAGAGAAAATCACTTAGCTAGTAATTTGATGCTTCTGTAGCACAGAATTTCAGTGCCTTTACTCTGTTGCCACAGGTTTATGGTAATACAAATAACTAATAGATCTGTAATAAACTATTCAGGCAAACATCTCTGTTCTATTTTCAAAAAACAATTAAAACAACCTGTTGATCTCTTTGCTTACCAGTAGATCCAACAGCACACCGGAAAAAAAAACAAAACTCCAAGCATTAAACCCCATCTTACATTAAAGAAAACAAGGCAGAAGGAGAAAAATGACTTGAGACCATCTGAAGGAGGATCTCAACCTAACCATACTACTCCCAGGCTACACTACCTCCTGCATGTGATTATACATTCTCTTAACATGTTTTAACTCAGATATTTGACTTCCCAATACTGCTGAACAACCTACTCTTAATTTAAATACAGGATAATTTCCCATTATTGGCTTTGCTTGCTATCAAGTATTGCAATGTTTGAAATAGGACTACACTATAAGGTCTTAGCATTTAGGTTTGTTAGAATAAAAAACACTTAACAGCATTTTGCTTTAGGCAAACCAAAGTTGTTCTCATACCAAATGGGAACAAGATTCAGAAGGACAAATAAATATGCTGTGAGAAAGTGATACATACCTTACAGCTGGTTATTTCCTCTATTCGTGCTTCTGGTGTCTGCCCTGCTTTGGGTCTTACCAATACATACACTGCTTTGACTTTAGGACAAGATCTGAGCAGTTTTTCCAGAAGCACTTTTCCCATGAAGCCCGTAGCTCCAGTCAGAAGAACATTCTTTCCTTCATAATATTCAGGTATGGAAACCATTATGACCTTAAGATAAAAAAGAAATATATATTGTGGGACTTCCAGAAGTTCACATTTATATAAGGTACAAACTGCATAGAAGCAAATATTCAACCTCATACCTGGAAAAAAAAAAAAAAAAAAGCTTACCAGATATTGGTGCTAGTAATCAGTACTTAAAAACTTGTTCTTTCCTCCCCACCACATTCCACAGAGTCCCACAGAGTCACTACAGTCATTCCAGATCATAAAACTGCCCCATCACAGTTCGTTCAATTCCTTGAAGATTCACTCCATTTAAGAAAACAGCTCACTTTTCAGTCTCTCTATGTGCATGGCCATGGCCATGCAGCCACGACAAGTGGTTGTTTCACGTAAACTAAAGGTCATATCATTAAAATACAATCACGAGTAGATACTTAAAATACACTGACAAAAGACAGGGAGAACTGTCTGTCAACAGCACTGCTTGTCAATGTCAGGCTGAGTCTTCAAAGGATGGATGTGTGGCCACAGAGAAGGTAAAGTCAATTGCTTAGTATAAAATCTGCTGGTCTTTTTCTATTGATTACATGAAGACATATTACTTTTTTCCTCTCCCAGTCAACCATGTGGGATTTTTTCCTAGTTCTAGATACTGTAAATAGGAAGACTTTCTAAAGATAAATGCAATGCTTTTTCAATGTGGTCTTCGGACCATGACCTTAAAGACCTCAACCTGTGCCTCAGCCAACTTCAAGTCATTCTGTAAAGCCCCATATACCAATAAATTAAAAAAAAAAATCCTAAAATGGCTTAGCTTTAACTAAAAAAGACTACAGCATGTGGCTATATTTCCACCACAGTGTATTAATCTAACTCAACTGCTATAAATAGCAAGCTGATATAGCAGAAGTCTAGCTGTAGTCTCCTACAGTAAATCTGCAAACATCAACCATTACACTCAAAACACTACAGAAAACATTTTATGCGTTCTGTCCATGATGTTAAAAGAAACATCCTACAAAGAGAGTGTTTCTGAAAATATTAAGAGTTAAGAGTTGCAACACTGAATGCTTGAATAGAATGAAAGCCTTTCCTCAGCTATCACTCAAGAATATGAGAATGCATCTTCTGAAGTGCTGTAGTCTTTTTTTTGTTGCTGCTGTTTCTAAATAGCAGGCAGGAACTTACCAGGGAACACGTACTCCCGCAATTATTGTGGAAGCACCTAAAAGGACTGTGGGGCACAGTAGCAAGTTTAGAACAGATTAAGCACTGCTATTTGTAATGGCCACAGGACATCATCCAAAATTTGTTCTGTGAAGGCTGATGAGATCAGCTTACTGTAAATAGGTCCCCCCACACACCCACCTTTCACATTTACCACATACTTGCAGACTTACCACCCACAATAAAGGAATAGAAAACAAGGTAAGACAACCTTTGGAGCCATTTTTTCCCATCTAATTCAAGACATAGTCCTACTGTCTTCACCAGGGCTCCAGAATCACAGACTTCTTATGACTTCACGTATGCCTAAATTCTTGATTTTTTGCTATTTGAACATACCATTCAATCCCATTTATTCCTAAAAAAATCTCCATGCTTGTTCCTACATACAGGATAAGACATGTTTCCTCTGAGAGCACTCATGCACCCTTTACTGTACCAATTTTGTCACCAAGATACCATTTTACTGTAGTTCTTAAGAATTCTTGTTACTTACTCATATCTTTCATGCCTTTTACCTGGTAACAACATTTAAATATTGAAATAGTCACAATTGCTATGGACCAGCTTTAAGCTGGCTGAAAAACCTGACAATATTTTAAGTCATATGATATAATGAAAACTAGAAGCCAGAACACATCAGAAAGTTTCCTGCCTCAGTTATGTCTCACAACACTCTTCTGACCAAAGGGTTTGCATCAGATAAAAAACACCTATGTTATTCCCCTGAAACTTTTTACAGAACAGCAAAGCTATACAACATGTAGACCTACAGCTATGATTAAGAATGATGAAATCTGATTGCTAGGAAGAAACACACAAACATACTCAAGTACTTGCACTTAAGAGGCAAGAACACCAACATTCACAGGATTTTCTTGTTTACTTTTTAAGGATTCTTGACTGAACTATTTCCTTTGAGCAACTCTATACTGTCTCCCCTCATTCTACTCTCCAGCAACTACAGCTTTTGGTAGTTTTTATTCATAGCAATTTTCTACACTAACTCTGTCTTTTCTTACTTGTATTCCTCTTGCAGTTTCCAGCTAGAAAAAGATAACTGCTAATCTTTTAATAAGCATGTGCTGCTGCCAAATTATAGGAATAAATGCTGGGCTTGTGAATAAATTGCCTAGAAGCACCGTGTTTGACTCAAGGATAAAAACCATGCATGGAATCTGAGGATGACTGGAGAAAGTCTAACACAGATCAGGTTGGCTAAACCTCCCAGAAAGAAAAAGTCAACTCAACTGCAGGAGTGGGAAAGAATGTTCCCACTCTCAATCTATCTTTCCCCACCTCTTCTGAGAGCTCATCTCAACATGCCAGTTAATGCAGCGTTGCTGGCAACAACTACCTTTGAACTCAGAAGGGACTTAATCTCACAGGTATGATACATTAGCTGTGTTGCCTTTTAAAGCTCTTCTCTGCTCAGCAGTTTACCCTTTGCTTAAAGCCAGCTACTGAACTACGGAAGTACTATATCATAACCATGTTTCAAAATTCTGTTCAGAAATAAATGTAGTTCCCAGAAGAAGCTGAGTTCCGCTTTTAACACAGAGCAGGCTGGAGTTAGATCAAAAAGGATACCTACCTTGCAAAACAACACAGCAGAATCAAATTCAGCCTAAGGTTGAAATGTCAGCAATCTTCCATGTTATAACCGAGTTGTCGCCAGCACAAAATCAGCTATACTTTCTCTACTAACTAGCAATATGTATTTTCACCACTTATTCAATGACTTCTTGACCTCACCTTCTACAAACAATGCCAGATATTTCTGTTAAATACAACACTGCCTTATGTACACTTGAAATTATCCAAACTTTTGTAACTGCTTTTTGAGCTAGAAAGTAACAACAGCTAAGGGAAAAAAACACTGGGCAGATGAAAGAATAACTAAGAGTTTTCTTAAGAACTCTTGGTGTAGAAAAGGCATGATCACTGGATGACTTGTAGAGATAAACTGGCCTTAGCGAGGAAGCTTACACTAAAAATGCCACAGAGAAACTGATGTTGACATACTTATGAATTCATAGGTGCTGGTTTAAACCAAAGCTGGCTGAAGATCCAGCTCATCTGAAGCGTGCAGCCCTTTAAGGCATCAAACACCCCTTAGCACTTCAGTAAAAAGCAAACCAAAAAAAACACCTACTGGATTCTAGCCAACATCCCCCATCTTGTAAAACAATTCTTGTGTCCAAGACTGAGCAACAGCTATTATGGAGCAAACAACGGCAGCTCTGTTTGCCTCCAGAGCAACTACTGTAATATTTAACTCACTGCTTCAAAGAGGTCTCTATGACACTCAAAACAAGGGCAATTCTCAGATTTGTCCAAACACAGATCAAGATGCTTAAAGACTTGCCTTCAAATCTGCCAAGACAGACTTCTGCAGTTCCAGTGAATGTCTGAATGCTAAACCCAGCAAATAGGAGTGTGCACTTATGTCCTCATTTGAGGATAAACGGCCTGTTTTCTAGTTAATCACTGCCAAACATTAGGTCAGCAAGACACTCATTCCAAATTCAATCATACTGAGATTATCCAGTCACAGGAAAGAGACAATAACTATTTCCCAACTCTCAAGCATTAGCAACAAACCAAAAGTTCTGCAAAATAGAGCCTGGCAAACTCATCTTCCCGTGACTGCTTGAATCTAGAACCAGCAACAGTGTAACACAAAAACAATCTGGAAGACAGACATTTCTTCTATCCTAGTTATATATTCAGGCAATAAAACCTAGACATCAAATCTGAATACAGCATTTGTGAAAACCCTAATTACACATTTGTATCAGAAAAACATTACTGGGAGGCCAATGTGCCATCTAGGAATTCCACAGCCATTTTCAAGGACACTGTAGCAAGTCAGAATAAAATTTAAGAACTGGATAGATTCAGGCAGCAAAGGAAGTAATATTTAACTCAGCTAAACAAGATTATGCCAGAAAGACAAGCTGGGGTCACATCACAACTCATTGCATCTGATGCCTTGTTTCCACAGAAGTAAATCAATGAATGCTATCAAAAGTTACGTCCACCTTTTCAACAACCACAAGGGTCACTGATCTCCCCTATTCGGACAATACCTATGAGCATATCACCAAAGGTGAGTTTGTTTGTCTACACAGTCCAAGGTTATACCCATTGAGAAACCTTATCTGTGAAAGATAACTGTTCTGGAAGATGAGAAGAGATTGTAACAGCGGAACAGAGTACTTCCTGCTGGACACCGCTTTTGGTGCAAGTTCACTTTAAAGTGTATCTATTCCAAACTGCACAATCTGAAGATTTGAGACCTCTCCTGCACTTAGAAAAGCAACATACTTACCAGTGTTTACAGCTGTCACTAACATTCCTACCTATTCTCTGCAAGGCTATTTTCTACACTAGCTAGAAGCCACAGTCATCTCCAGGATAAACCTGACAAGAGAATTTATTGTATCTACAGGATCTGGGAAACATATTGCCAGGTCTGGAAGCTAATTATAGCCACTACATTTTCAAACAATATCGAAACAGGTTCAAAATTTAATAGTAACTAGCAGTTCTTGGGATTCTGTCTGCTGGTATGCTAGATAGCAAGTATCTCACACTTTCCCAAAGCTGTACACTAAGTATGGCAAACATGGTTGACACTCCCTAGGTATACTAGAGAATTACTGTGCTACAGATACATCAAACTAGCTCTATTCCTCAACCCCAAAAATGTTTAGAGATGATCTGCTACCAGAAAAGATACACCTACTTCAGATCATTTCAGTCCACAAACCTGTAGTGTCACCAGCAGAACTTTACCATTAGAGGTATTTGATGCATGTGGTTATACAGATACTTCCTATGAGCGTGTTCACATGCCTTCTCAAGCCATAGTTCTGATTTCACTGCAAATGCAGAACCACTTATGCCTCTATTCAGAGATTCTGTACCGGCTGACTAAAAAATGACTTTCTAATAGTAAGCACTCTGTTCCAGAAAATAATAGAGCTCCTAAGCTTCGCTCTAATTACAGTTCTTTTACAGTAAGGCCGCTGAAAAGGAATTGAAATTCTTCTAAGCATTGGTTTAATGCAACTGAGTAAAAGGCTATTACTATCCCTTTATAATTAAATTAGAAATTCATGTTTTTCTGAACTGTTTACCATTTGAGTTTGTCCTTCAAGTGCACATCAAAAGAAAAT